TTAATATAAAAAATCATGAATGTTTAATTACTTTCTTAGTAGTCCATGCAAAGGGTGTGACCCTTTTTAACTCACGGGCCGATTTAAATCTTGAAATTCGAGGCATACATGTTAATAAGTTACATATCGTTATGTACTGATAGGCATAATAATATAAAAATACAAAATTAAATAAAGCATATTTCATACATAATATATCAAAACTATAGAATATGGCATCCTGTGTATCGTACTGATCACCGTTGACGCGCGCACTCTTAAATAAATACAATTTTACTACAAGAATCGGAAAGGTATAAAAAAATAAATTACATTAATACAATTACATGTACTAAAGTTAGTTAAGTTAATAATTCCCAAAAAAAGTACAAGTACTATAAGTTTGTTCGAATGATATCAATTAGAATTCGCATTGACTTTCGAGGCATTCTAGTGCAAAGCATGAATTTTGTTTTCGAAATAAGCAGTTAATATGTTATCTAATTAATTAAATATCAATTCTTATTATAAATATGTATATTATTTTCATGTTTCGTGAAGTTCATACAAACTCGCTTTAAGGTAAAACGCCACTAACAACTTACTTATTTCATAAGATAGCTTCAAAATATTCCAAACATCTTAAAATTTGGGATTTTTCTCAAAATTGCGACTTAAATAGCCAATGGTCAATGGTTTATACACATGGCAAATACACAAAATTCTGCCACTTCTCCATGACGAGTATACTCGTCAATAACAGTTAACATCATAGTACCCCGAACATTCAGAATTATTTATTTGTAGGAAATAGAATGGAAATTTAATATTTCATACTTAAAATTGTAAAAAAAGACATGTATTTTATAAAATAAGAGCAAAAAGCTATATACATTCTCTGGAAAGACCATTTACAATTTTGACACACCTCATGCATACAAACTACTATTTAATTATATTGATTAAAATTCTTTTTTTTTTAAACGGACACGGCCTCAATTTCAGAACAAGTAAACAAGATTTTTAAAAAAAAATAGAAATATAGCAATAAATAATTAGCTATTTATTATGTACGTTTGGAAAAACTCTATGCATATCATCATTCAGCATTTTCAACAAATTCTGATATGGTCTATAAAGTTGAAAAAAAGACGTTGACTGAGAATATTCTTGACTGGAGTAATAATCAAAATAATCCAACTACTCTTCATAATTTTTAGGATGAATTCCTTATAAATACTATATATTTCTGGGACACAAAAAGGATCAAGTAATCAAGTAATTAATTCATCCCTACAAATACCAGAGCTTGTTAAACATGCTGAATGATATTACACATATAGTGTCGCAACGATCATGATAAATAGTTAATTATTCATTGCTTTTTATTTTGACTATCAGGCTGTAAAAATAAACAATTAATATGTATATATATATATATATATTAGGGTGGTCCTTAAAATGGTCATTTTCGAATTTCCTTGCTCCCAGGGGCTCAAATGGTTCCAAAATGATAAAAAACAATTCTCTGAAAGTTTTAGCTCTTAATATTAACGTTTAGATAGAGCGCAATTCAATCAAAGTTGGTATGGAAAGAGCATGAAAATTTTTTGAAAATTAAAAAAAAGTGTTTTAGGTATAACTTAGCGACAAATGAATGAGTTTTATTCATTCATTTGTTCGCTAAATTACATTAAAAAAACATTTATTTTAAAAATTTTTCCATGCTATTTCCATACAAAATTGATTGAATTGCGCTCTATCTAAACGTTAAATATTAAGAGCTAAAATTTTCAGAGAATTGTTTTTTATCTAATTGGAAACCATTTGAGCCCCTGGGAGCAAGGAAATTCGAAAATGACCATTTTAAGGACCACCCTAATATATATATATATATATATATATAATATTTTAAGCATACAATAATAATACATATTAGTGAGCATAACTATATCACATTTATTAAAGATTTTAAGTTTTTCTTTCCGAAACTATAGTAACAATAAAACAAATACTTCAATAAATAAAGTTCAATAAAACATCAAATTCTTTCTTATATTTACTCTTTATCATATCATTCTCAGCCTTATCTTTTGGTGTAGTACTATAGTTTATCTGAACAAATCCTACCAACGACCATCATAATCAAATTATTACAATACATATGTACAATATATAGTCATTATTCAATTTACTTATATATATATATATATAGTTTGGAATTAGTTATTTAAGATTATTTAGAGCACCTCTGACTTTACTCAATACATCTCTCATATTGTCATATTTGCCAAGAGCATCGGGCAAATTTTCAAAATTGATTACATCAGACATTTCTTTTGAAAAACTTTCAGCAATAGGTATTTTAGAAATTGAGAGTAATTAATATAGGCGTTTGATGAGATGTCCTTTTAATGTTTTCAACATAAAGCTTTTTCTTTTCTTCATTCTGTTGAGTATCCACATTATCAGGTTCAAGATCATTTTTAACATTATTAGCTTCATTTAAATCTTTTTTTACATGTTCATCAGTTTGTACTACATCAGTGGTATTTCCAATTTCACTTAAGGTATTAGTAGATTCATTTTCTGTTTTCTTTTCGTCTTTAACTTCCTTTATGTCATCAATTTTAAATTTATTATCAGTATTTTTCTCAGCTTCATGTGTGGAATCCAGTTGAGCATCCTTACTTTTAATAGAATTATCTTTATTACTTTCTACAAAACTGTCATCCCGCAATGATTCATATGATAGTGATGCAGAAAAACCATTTAGTTCTTGTAAAAGTAATCTCTTTCATTCTCTAACTCTGTTAATGAAGGTGAACATGGCCTATTAAGCTCACATCTCTCGATGGCAGGTGACTGTGTCCTTTCTCCAGATGTACAAGCAGGTTTAGGAGTTGAAGATAATAAAGAATGAGAAAATGCATTCTGATCGTGGTCCTTTGTTGGTGAAGGTTCATCAGTGGCAATGTCCATATCATCGATATTTTTATTTGTTGGAAGTTCTGGAGAGTTCATTTTGCTTCTTTCTGCATCATCAGCAATTCTTTTTATCATCGAATCCTTGTCTAACAATGGGTTAAAAGGAGGCACTCCATAACATTTGCTTTCATCTAAAGTACCAGTTTCTGGTTTAGTATTGAAACCCGGGTATGTTATAAGCTTTTTTACATCATATTTACAATCTTGCCCATTTACTACAAGTTCACCGTCTTCAGAATTGGATTTTTGGTACATCTTGACCTGGGCATCGATTAAACTCAATCCACTATGCTTGATTTTGTGATCCTCCAACCAACCTGGAGGATAACCAAAAACTCGCATTTTATAAACATGCATCGGAATTTGTTTAGGTCCCAAGCCTAATGCACCTCGTAACTCATTAGATATGCATCCTACTTGGAAGTGGCCATATTGTTGTTCATCTTCTAGATCTAGATGATATCTTGTTGTTGTTTGTAATTTTTTACGGTTATTTAAAATTGCTTCATGATCTCTTGGTTTCGTGCAATCGCGCAAGCTGTGACTTCCTTGGCAATTAAAACAAATTCCTGTAGGAGCGCAATCATTACTTTCATCAGTCACATTCAAACTCAGCTGCTTTGGAACAACTTCATCAATTTTTTGTCTATATGACGGCACAATGTCTAAATTCTCGGCAGGTTTTGCATCAACAATAAACATGTCTTCATTATTAAGTTCTTTAGACATGTTTTTTACAGAATAAAATACTATTATAAAACACAAATAGTTAACACAAAATTTTTCTTTAAAAATTTGACAGCTTATAATAAAAACAACACGCTACACGCTTAGTATGAAGTAGTATGAAGTTGACGTTTTACGCCATTGCACTTTGAACTAGTGCTGCCCATTGTGCATGGCATAAATCGAAGTATATATTCGAAATAGATCGAAAAGACATTTCAAAAAACTACCGTTATACGCGTGTACAATATTGGAATATTATATATTCAATTTAATATATTCAATGTTCAATGTATGCGCAACCGTATTATAAGGAGCAAAAGACTAATACAAGTGGGGTTATTTTTTTCAAATTAAAACTAGTGGGGTGGGTGGCATCGTGTCTTAAGGCAAATTGCTGGAACTTCCCGTACCGTAACGAAATGTTCGAGGAATATTGAATGTTTTCAAATAGATTATTATAAATATTGTAACATTGTTTAATATTTATAAGAATTATATAAACTGAATTGCAGAGTTGAAATTATTTGTTTAAAGTATATTAGAACTATAATCAGATTTAAAAATAAAATCGGAATTATTTTCGATATACAAAAAATTAAAAAAAAAAAAAAAAAAAATGAAACAAATTTTTTTTTCCAAAATCAATTATTTTGTTAAGACAAGCAGAAAGTTCTTTGAATCAATTGAATCGGACGCTTAGTTCTCTCAAAAACTGCCATTTTTTGTACATTTAGCTCTGTATCTCCGAAATGGCTGGGCCTGCCTTTGCGAAAAACTAATAACCCCTTCTCCCAATCATTACTAATTGAATGTTTTTTAGATCATTCAAATCGGATGCTCCGTTCTCTCAAAAACTCGATTTCTATTTTCTGCACTCTTTGCTCCTTATCTCCGTAACTGCTGGACCTGCCTTTGCCAAAAACTAATCAGCACATCTCCTTATCAATAGGAATCGAATGTTTTTTAAACCATTCAAATCGGTTGATCCGTATGCCCGAAAACGTGGGCGAAAATTTGTATCCATACATACATACACACACACACATCCATTTTTTCTGAAGTATGCCAAAATGTTCAGAAACCTTTGAAACGTCGAGAAATGTAAAAATTTTCAATTCCGATTTTCGGCCCATTACAATAACTTACCCTACGGAAAGTTAAAAAACATGTTATTGTATTTTTATAATAAAGATAAACATATTCATTTCACACATATCAACTTCTCGATATGGTAAATAATCGATTTAATTAATAAAAAATAAATTAATTTATGAGTGATAAAAAGTATTCCGAGTGGATTTATTACACATATTTGAAAACGAACGAACACGTTAGTATTTTCTAAAAGAAAATTTTCACAAATCAATAATTTGTATAATTGAACCAAGTTTCCTAGGAATTTATTGGTTTAGTATGTTCATTAAGACCAAGTACTCTATCTATACCACGTAAATCGTCAAATTTTAATTGTAACAAACGTCAAAAAAAACTACTCAATTTTCTCAAACTTTCATGAATTTTTAAAACTAAACCACTTGTCGTAATCCCGTAAGTTCTATAAGACCATGATATATAACGCCAAAAAAAGTTCTATAATAAATGCATTTTATTTAAGTGCGAACGACAAATGTACCAAAATACCAAAGAACGTTTAAGCACATTTTCTAATTAGAATCGAGAAATCGTGCTATAAAAGTACCGTGTTATACACCTGTATACCAAAAGGATTAACGACTTTTGCAACAATTACATAAAAGTATTTAACTATCAAAAACAGCGATTATAATCATTGTAATAATTAATAATTTTTAATATAAAATACACGAGGATGGTAAATACATTGAACATCCCCTGCAATAAAATTTTTGATCACAACACATATAATATAGTAAGAAAAACTCACCTATAAACTTTCCCGGGTTGAATTCTTCCAGCTCTTCCTGCTCTTTGCACACCATTGGCTTTGCTGATAGGAACTATTACTAAATTATCTACATGTGCTGCAGGATTAAACACTTTTAACTTCATATAGCCACAGTCCACAACTAAAATATATATTAAACATGATTGCATTTGTATTATTTATAAAAATAATAATACTATTTCTAAAAAAAATATATAGAGCTATAAAGTTTCATAAGCCTTACCATAAACTATACCAGGAATGGTAACTGATGTTTCGGCTATGTTTGTAGCAAGTATTACTTTTCTTTTCCCCCGAGGCGTTTTGAAAAACACTTTAAGTTGATCATTTTTAGGCAAGCTACCATACATTGGCAAAACCATTAAGTCTTCATAATCTAAAAATAATAATAAATTCAATTAAATATGAAGCATCAAATGTAATTTTAAAAATAACTTTAATAAAATTACAGTACATTCGTGACTGCAAATATTGTTATAGGATAAATGAAATAAAAAATAATAATTGGATGAAAATAATCAAAACGACTGTTTAATATCTGCATGGCTAATATGTACCTATACATAGATAATATCATCTATGATAATTGATTCATTTTAAAAATTACTTGGATAAAGGAAAAATAAGACTTTATTTTAAGTGTGAATAATGTATAATAATTCTTTACAATAAAGAGTTGATATGTAGTTCAATGTCTGTATTTTTCAAATCTAATTTAAACATTAATTTATTAATACAATTGATATAAGCAATTCTAAACAAAAGCTTTAAAAAATATTTTATTCGCATGATATTAAAGTTAGGAATTAATTATAACAATATATAAATCACAAGATATTATTTAGTTTACAATACCTTTGGTTAAGCAGTGATCTGCCAGAATATTTTTGGCTTGGACAACTTCATCCATGCCTGTCAGAAAACAAAGAATATCTCCTGGATTTTCAGATTTATGTATCTTTAATACTGTATCAGCAGTGGCTTTAATGTAGCATGGTACAGGCTCTAAAAATATAATAAGCTAAGATTAATAATATGATCATTTTAAATTAGAATTCAGAAAATTCGTCAAATATAAGAAACAGCCAGTAAGTACATAACTTTTTAATAACCTTTCAATTTTCTAATGTAAAATTGAATGAGGAATATCAAACAACATATCAGCAATATAGGAAGAATGATATTTTGTGCCAAACTATAAAGGAATTCAATTCTCAACTTTATGAATTAAGAAGGAATGGTTCAATTGGCTTTTGCACAAAACTAACCAACGAGATTTCTAATTGATATATTCAAATTAATATAGAATTTCTAAAACCTACGATTATGATTTTCTAAAGAAGCTAAAAATTAAATCTTTAACTGTTAATTACAAGGTAAACAATCTGCTAACCCATTCATGAAATTAATAAATATAGTATACATTAAACATATATTTAAAAAAAAGATTTTTTTAAATGATTTGTCTAGATCATTTTGAAAAAAGTAAAAAAAGATATAATAAACTATTAACTTGAAAAGAAGATTCAGTTTATTTTCACATAAATCCAGTGAATGTTAACAATATTAGATTTTCAAAATCTTTAATAGAATTTAATAAAAGAAGTAAAAATCAACATGTTATTACTCAAAACCAAATATTTGTCTTTACTAAAAACAAACCAGCATGATTCTAATCTAATTTTTCGAACGGTTTTTGAAATTTCAAAATCGGTTTGCTTTTTGGCGAAAACTTTCATGATTTTTTTCATGTAATTATTAACTCTAACCAACGAGAATTATTGTTTCCACTTGAAATTCTATTGTAATCTATAACCTCAAGTGGAAATTTTACATCACGCTGCTTGACATCGGGCTCGAACCATCGAACCTGGAACCCATGTCCATGGCGATTACGACACCGCTGGGTCCCATACACACACATAAGAAACATTTTTAATCGGTCAGAAAATACATTAAATTAACTATTTGAATTTCAAACAAAAACAAATTTGTCTAAACTATGGCAAGTTAAAATATTATACGTTATGATTTTGAGTAATATACTATACGTATTGATTTTATTATTAAAATAGTTATATGTACTTACCTTCAACATAATGTACGTCTACATGGAAAGTGCGCCCCTGGACACCAAGTATGGTGGCCGCGTCACCTAGTTTATTAGTGTCCGAAAAATATGTCTTCAAAAATTCAGCATCTACGGTTGCTGAAGATATTACCAGATGTAACGACTTCCGCTTCTATTTAGAATAATAAAACTCATATTTGTAATTTGTAAATGGTGGAAAGGAATTAAGATATAAATAATTTTAATTAAAATATATATTATTTATTCAATATATTAAAAAAAAATGGAAGAGCAATAAGGAAAATTTGGAAAGGTTTCACTTCAGAACTCGTGTATATTGCATTAAGAACTAGTGTAAGTAATTATAGTCTAACGTATCATAAATATATTAAGAGAAAACTTTGCAAATCTAATAGAGGAATCAAAAGAAACCAACTCCATTATGAACAAAAATTAAATAAGAGATACAAAAAATAATCATAATAAAAAACTGTCGAAAACGTATTCCACATAAAATAGATGAGCAATAATAAATCGATTTATATAATAAAAAATATCAATAAAGATCTATTAAAAAATCCCTTATAATTAGATATATCTTAATTTTTTGCAGAATAAAATTTTCTATGCAGAAAATTAATTGCAAACAATTTTTAATCTTTAACATGCCAAATAATATCATTTCATCAAATTACGTAAATAGGATTTAAATGTAAAATTTAATAAAGATATGTTACCTTTAGAATTTTCTTAAGAAGTCCTAAGACCATATCAGTGAGCATATTTCTTTCGTGGGCTTCATCAACTATTATAATGCTGTATTGAGTTAATAAAGGGCTAGCCAACATCTCTCTCAACAAGATACCTTCAGTCATAAACTATAAAAAAAATGTTTGAAATGAACATATAAATCACGTTTTTAATTATATAATTTATATAGATTCAGCTATATAACAAATGAAGAGGTCCTAAGAAGAGTGAGCAGAGAAAAGACTTTACTGAACACGATCCTGAAAAGAAAAAGAAACTGGATCGGACCTCTTCTGCAAAAAGAGTGCCTCCTGCACGACGTCGTCGAATGCAAAATAGAAGGACTAAAAGGATTGGGAAGAAGAAGAATGCAGATGATTGACGACTTACGCGATAAGAGGAAATACAGAGAACTGAAAGCCGAAGCACAGGATCAGAAGTTTGGAAAGAAAAATTCATCAAAACGAATATAAAGTGGTCAATGGTCATTAATTATAGCAATAAAATGGGAATAACAAGGAGGGGAGGAAAATCATTGCTTTTGTGGTGCTCTCATACCATGGACCTGCCTTCGGGCAGACTACTATTTATTGTAATTATAGATACAGATACAATAATTTTCTTTTATTGTTTGAACAACAATTCTCAGTATTCTATGAATTCCCCTATTATGAAGATTTTTCATGAACCTAGTGGTTACCGTGATCTTTGTGATGAAAATTTTATGTTGTTATATGATATATTGTAACAATGCCATAAAATATAACACATTTAGGTCTATATTTATAAATAAGTAAGAACAGATATCACTACTGCTTGATAATAAGAAAAAGTAAACGCTGATTCTGTTATTTAGGGTGTGTGTGCAAAGGACAGATATTAATATTACAATTAGATGTATTTTTTCATTTATCTACCTGGTCGTCTTTTTTATAAGACATTAGTACAGTTCAAACCACGCGGGAAAAACTTGTATCATACAGTAGTGATATACATTTTTACTTGGATATATAAATCATCATACAAATGTATCCAAATGAAAGTAGAACTCAGACAACTTTGCACTGCTGTGTAAAAAAAGAATGTAAAAATTGAAAATAATAAGGTATCAAAATAATATGTATAGTATTATATGATGTGGAAAATACAATCAATGTAAAGAAATTTTAAAGAATATGTATAACGTCGAATAGTTAAGTATATGAAAATAATAAAACTGTGTATGTGACTCAGAACCAATTAAAAAAAATGGTAAAGGCAAATGGTGGGCAGAAGATATGAAATATATGTAACATTTTTATTACAATTTTATTTCTACTCCTATAAAATTATATAACATTGATTTGTTTTTGCATTTAACTAAAGAATTGTAAATATAGAGCAGCATGTGGCAAGATTTCATTATAGGTTATTCATGTTGTGAAGATTATACATAAATAATAAGCAGGCAAAGTTCAGTAAAACTCCATCTAAATAGTTCATTTATTAAGTCAACCAACCTTTATTGCTGTTTTATCAGAAGTACAATCGTCAAATCTGACTGCGTAGCCAATTTCGTCGCCTAGGGCAACATCGCGTTCTTCGGCAACTCGTGTGGCCAAAGAAACTGCTGCCACGCGCCTCGGTTGAGTGACGCCAATCATACCCTTTTTGGCCCATCCTGCCTCTAAAAGATACTGAAAATAATGAATATTAAACATGAGTTAAAAAAATATGAATTATTTAGATATAGCTACCTGCGAGAGATGCTGCTATTTACAAATTTATTATTGGATGAATAAAATTAACATTTCAATTAAAATTTTAAATACATTGAAAAAATAGAGGTAGAATATTAAACAAAAAAAAAACAAACTATCTACTAAATTTATTTTAGTTGTATTTATTTTACCTTTTGATTTTTTTTAACTTCCCGAAGGAATTTTTTTCCAAAAAATTCAACTTGATAATTTTACGATTTCTTGGCGTTTCAAGTTATTTTGGAACATTTGAGATCAAAATGAGAAAATGTATAATTAGAATGTAAATGTAGGTTTATGGTGAATCAAATTTAACCTATATAGTATAATCTATATTATAGTATAATCTTACAAAAAGTGGTTAAATTATAAAAAATCATTAAAGTTTGGAATAATGAGCCGCTTTTATACACTGTAATCAATGCAATTACAGAGATTATAAGTTTCTTTGAAAAATTTTAAAGTTGAAATAAACAGTTGAAATTTTTATCAAAATAAAATCTCAATTCTTATCGATTAATACGTTAAGGAAAAATTACACTTACAGCTAATTTTATTAGTATTTAGTAAAAAAGAATGTATGCATATTGGTAAAGATTATATGAAAAAATGTGGTAAATTAATTTTGTTGATTTGAATACAAATTTTGCCTACATAAAGCTTAATAATCTACACAGATTTTACCAAACACAGTGGATTCAGAGTAATTTTTTTTTCCAAAAACTTCATGGAATAACAAACTTAATAAAAATTCAAGATAATTTCACTTAAATTAACAAAATTTCTACAGAATTTAATAAGTTTATTTCAGTTTTTGTACTAATGTACAAAACATTATAAGTTTAAAACATCCGTTTCTATTCAAACTTTTTTTTAGTGCCATTCCGGATTTTTCATATCAGAAAATAGAAAATTAGTGCTAATTTATGTATATGGAGCTGTGCTAACAAAATCATACTATGGTAAATAAAAGTTCAATGGCAATGTCAACATTAAATTTTAATTATACAAAAACAACGATGATCCTTAAGTTAATATTAAGAGTTTAAAAGTTATTACGTACTTGAAAAATTGTAAATTAAAGGCCGATCTGTAGGTAAACACTCAACTCTTTAAACGTTTCAACACTTAACACAAAAGTGATACAAACCATACCGAGTCATTTATGTATTTAAAAATTTGCAAGAAAACGTTAAATATTCATAATATTCTGAGAATTTACTGTTCACAAAAATAAAACAAAATATGTTAATCAGTATTTACCATATTTTCCTGTATAATCTGTGATTAGAATTATTAAAATTGCAGAGTAATCTAAATTTTATTATAAGAATATTATCATATGTATCGTATTTGAAATTAAATACAATCACAAGTTACTTGAAACTACTACGTAGTATCCAGCAAAAATTATTAACATTTTTTATTAAAGAAATGCAAAATATTTAAAATCTAATAGACAGCAATAAAATATATAAGATTATGTATGTAATTGAGATAAATAAATTAGAATTATAAACCTTTAATAACCACGATATCGAGCAGTGACAATATCCATTTTCACTTAGAAATATAAATCTAAACAATGCTTCCCAGTGAATAAAATATCAACCCTATTAAATAAATTCAAATAATAAATTAATCAATAAAGGATAGGTTAACCGTTGGGTTGCCGTCTAAATGGAGAGAAAATATAATAGAATAAAAGTTTGGATTGCAGCTAAAAGAACAAAAGTTTGGATTGCTATTAAAGTGTGAATATAAAAATGGCAAAAGAATTTTCAAATATTTGATCTAATGTAGTTTCCCTAACCGAAAACTTAATTTTAAAATTGTCAAGTCTCAATTTACTCAATTGCTGTTATTTTTCAAGTAAATAAGGATATACTAATAAACTACGTTTGTTAATGTTATTTAAAGACTTATGGAAACATGTTACAAAATATATTCAAATTTGTTATTTTTAAAATATTTGATAAAATAAATTTGATAATAAAATTTTGATTCGTACTAATACCGAGCAACCGCCAAAATTGATGATCATTGAGATTATGAATAATTGAAAATTTTAAGAAAATTGCCAAACTGAATATAATGTATGATGGAACAAAAGTTGTATTAATATCCGATAAGATATTATATATGTACTTATATGAATATAATATATATTATGATACTGGACAACTTATTATCAGATTATTTGAAACTATTTTTTTGTATAAAAAATCATCACAAGAGTCATTGGAAAATCATCGATTAAAATATCAATAATTTTAGTTATAAGCAAAAATAAATACTTTTTATTTTTATATTCATACAATATATAATATTTGTAACTTTCAGCATAAACAATATAAGTATAGATAACTTTTTAGTAACCTGGTTCAGACTTTAAACTGTTAGTTCTTAAAAACTAACAACTATACAACCCACAACCAATATTGTTGTGCATTCGGCATTTTTTTTTGGATTTGTCCCATATGCTTTGAATATGTAACTTTATTGAGCAAAACTTATTAATCTCAAATAATATCGACAAATCCAAAAAAAGCCTATTTAGTATAAAGTAAATAAAAATTAAATGCGAACAAAACAATTGCGATTTATATTATACCTCTAGCAAATTTCAATGTACTACCATCAGGCAAATATTTTTTGTAACATTAGGCAATCTGTGCGCTTATAAAGTGGTCTTTCAAAACTTATCTTAATATAATATTAATTTCAGCTATCATGCTACAAAATACTTTTTCTCGCATAGTCCATAAAAAATCAGACAATTTTTATGAGTGACCAATAAATATGAAAATTTGAAAAATATTAAATAAAAACGAATAACGATTTTTATTTCTAACAAACGTTTCGAGACTAGATTTGTCTCCTTTTCAATCTTTATATATAATAAAGTTCTTCTGAAATGATGTATGTAAATATACTCCTCCTAAACGATTATTCGGATTTTGATAAATCTTTCTGAAGTTTGTTAAGGGAATTTTTTAGGATGTATGTGATTATAAAAATATAGTAATGTTGTAGAAATAAATGGAAAAAATTGCAAATATCATATATTGGTACATGAGAACTGTCATCTGCCAAAAATGTCGATTCACTTGAAATTTGAATTTAGTTTAAGAGAGCCTAGACAATATTGGTATATAATATTCATATTCATAATAATGAAAAAGAAAAATTTAATATCTACAATATTATTGCCGAAAACCAGCTGAGATGTGCCAGAAATTAAAACAATATAAGATACAATATGTTGGCGAATGAAATTATATAATTTAGTTTAATACATAACACGAACATCCACAATTGCAAATGCAATTTTTTTTGATCTTATACAATTATATTTTGCTTTACTTTACTAAATTATGTGAATAAAAAATTTTTTTCTTTTATTGAAAAAACTCTTATTATAAACATATTTAATTTATATTACATAAAAATGAGATCAGGTTTCGAAACGTTTGTAAGAAATAAAATCGTAATTTATTAGTCAGTTACAAAATAAACTTTTGGAACACTTATATAAAAATTATTGCAGAAAAATATAGGTACACATATTCTGCAATAATTATCTGTATCTATTATAAATTTGCAATCATAAAAAACTAGCATCGACAAGACCATGCGAGATTTTCTTCACTCAAATTCTTTGTGCGATTTTTTTTTTTTTTTGAAAATCTAATTTTGACTAGACAATTTTGAAAAACCTTCACCCAAACATCGGTGTCGCTAATTAACTATTCTTGTTTAACAAATTTCATAAAAGTTTGAAACAAAATATATCACAAATCACATTACATTATATCACTCAAGATTATTATTAAATTTTTATCATTTTGTAAGGGATAATACAGTTCTTGTATAAACAATCATTTTTTAACAGAAAGCCCACTTACGGAAGATACAATTACACAAAGCGCAATTTTAACTTAAAATTATAATAGCGGTTTTAAAACCACTTTAATAAAAAAAAAATGCATAAATGAATACTTATACATGAATATATAAATAAATATTACTGTGAGTACTTAAGGATTTAATTCTAAGGGCGGATTGCATCAAAGTATATATTTAGTGATGAAAAATTCAAGTATTTACAAAAATACAAAAGTACTAACAATATAAGTAATACAAATTAAGTTTAGTAGCACAATTGGTTGTGTGATAAATGTAATTGAAAATAATTCTGAATTAATGGATAAATTAGTTAAGCCTTTAAATAATATGGTATTAACAATTTATATTTATAAAAATTATGATCATATTAATCTTTAAGAAGGTGTAAGATGCGTAATGAGGCAAATAAATTGAATAATAATAAAACAATCAGATAAAAAACATAAGCTGTGGTATAATGAGCAAGGCCACATATTATCTTTATCGCAAATTATCAAAAAATAATGAATAAACTGCGTTATAGATTTTTAATTTTTATGTATTAAATCTTATCAATGTGTATTTTCCAAATTTCACATAAAACGCAATATTTGTGCTCATAATATTATCTAAATTTCTTTATACGTATAACATTAAAGCTATATTTATTATTTGAGAATTATTCGCACTTAAAATCTCTAAATTATTTTGAAATAATTAAAAATGTGCTAATTAGTACAAACAATTCCATTAAAAAATGAAGTTACAAGTAAAATTCCTTATTATTAAAAGGTAAAATTAACTATAATCAAAAATAAATGTTGATTCTCATTTATTCGAATAATAGTAAGAACTTGTCGTATAATGAGGCAGTTACGTGCAATTTATATTTTATACAAATAAAAATAATTATTTAGTTAATATCAATAAAAAAGTGAAAATAATCATCACATAAAAAACATGAAAAATATTTGAAAATCTCATGGAAAGAATGCAATCCACCCTCAGCACCCTATAGATAAGGGCCTTTTAAATAATGTAGTAATTTC